TATCACCTACATACATCACCTTGACAATAAAATTTAAATTTAAATATAAAATAGAATACTACAGGATAAATTTACAATAATCATTTCAAGTTTGGTGTGCATAATTTCGTGGATTTGTTTCTGAACAATCATATCATACTGAATGCTAATAAAATACTATTTAGAATGTACTGGCAACATTCCTATTTTAAAGAAGCTATGATTATTTCTTTGAATAAAATCATAGATTTTAGACAATAGCTTCCATAGTGTCTCCCCTAATATAAGCCTTCTGGACTTAAATATTTTATTTATCCAGAACTCTTACTTCAAAAAAAACTTAGGTGTACTGTGGTAAAATAAACAGAAAACAGGAATCCCTTGAATATTATACTAGCTCATTTTAATTTTAAAATATAGTAGCAGAAACTCAATGGAGACTCTGAGAGACATGAAGAGTCATTTAACCCACTCTATATAGTTGCATTCTCCAAAAATATTTTGACAAACACTAATGCATGGTCTAGCAAGGGTATTTCCCTTCCCTTCTGCCCATAGCCCTTAGGACTTGCTTTTGTTACTAGGTAGATTTACCTTTCATCTTATGTTTTTCAAGAATTCTCAATGGGGTGATATATATATATATATATATATATATATATATATATATATATATATGTGTGTGTGTGTGTGTGTTGTGTGTGTGTGTGTGTGTATATGTATATATATATATACTTCATATTTTTATATGAATTGCCTCGTTGAGTAAACTGTGCTTAACCCTAATTGTTCATTGGCTAGCCCCTCTCCTAGAAATCCTTTACTAATTATTATTGTTGGCTACGTTTAACCAGTAATATTTATTCTGGTATTTAAGACCAGGAGAAGTTAAGGCAATGTGTGTATCCTCCCTTTTTTCTGGTCATTATGACCATGAGTTATACCAAACTCAAGTATGTATGCATAAAAAATTCATAATGGCCTATTTAAAGCCATAAATATGGCTAGTGCCTAGGTTATATTTATGGAATACAAAGATAACAAATTATAAGGAATGATGATGGATTTCAGTATGAAAATCTATTGTGAGTATATGAAATGGTCAGATCCTTTTAAAGTATTGAATTACTAAGGATGTAGAGTGAATATAGACAGACACATATACCATGCTCATGGATAGATACAGTGAGTGATACTGTTTTCTGAAAGAATATATAATTGCTGGTCTATAACTTTCCTTTAGAAAATATTTTAAGATTGTATAATTCAATTTATATCACATGAGATGAAGTTTATGTTTTACACAAAAGAAAGTTAGGCTCAAGATTCCAAAAACTATATTTTTTGTCTATGTAAGTGCTGCATCGATTATACTGTATGTGGGGCAGTTTATTTCATGTACCAAAGTTTAGATAAATGAGAAATGTCTGATATTCCTCATCCACAACCACAAACAACTGAAAATCATAATAAACAATCTAACCTTTTTTTTTCAAGTGTCCCCTAGAGGTCAGTATCACCCCCACTGAAAACTACTGTCTGAATAGGGTAGAACTGTGATCCTTCTCCCTACCCCCTACCCCTCCCCTCTCCACTCCTTTTTTTCTTTCTTTCTTTTTTTTTAATCTTGGGACTCCTGGTGGTAGTAAAAGCTGAAATTTAAGGTAAATGACAAAACTTCTTAACTGGGGTATGATTTTCCCTAATTGTATTACCCCTAAACAGACTGAAAGTACATTAGGAATGATTGGTCATAGGGCTGGAATCTGATTTAGCCACTCTTTAGACTCTCCATAGAGAGGGAACACAACCTAAAAGCTTGGAATATGAAGGAAAAGAGGATCTAGTGCCATTTGTGGTTAATTCTGAAGTGTCTTTGTATATAATTCTGTAAATTCTTTATACTTAAACTGGAAAAACAAATCTGTTACACTTGTTTGATGGGAAAAAAATCCACTCTTTTATTCAAGTTCCACAGAAATATTCTGGATAGGAATAGACACTGGACCAATAAACAAACACTTGGGTTGGAAGCTTCGATTTGCTAACTCTCCTTGTGAGACTGGGCATTTGAGCTCTCTGGACCACTTTATCTCATTTGAAAAAAACATAGATGAATTTGACCTGAATTCTTTGAATCTTTGCTTTGATGTTACTCTGAACATCTGGAATCTTCATGCAGACAACATATGGTATTCTTTGTGTCAAGGGGGTCCTTGATGGGGTGAAACTTTAATTCCCATTCTTCCTATGGAAATCTCACAGAGGTTTTCTTAAAAGATCTGTGTCAGCAAATTTGCAAGTTTCCTAGAATCTTTTAAAAACATACTTCCTCAAAATGAAGTGTTTTTCATGTTAAAAATTATTCAATAAACCAATCACAGATTTTTAAATTTGAGAAACCACTTGTTAATAAAATAATATTTAATAATTTGAAGTACTTCTATATCTCGGCAAGTGTTGATGACATAAATTAAGTAACTTTAGCACCACTTCCTGACTTTCTTCTATATACCAAACAATACACAGAACAGTAGCTGGTAATGAGAATGTAATATAAATTATAAAGGTATGGCCTCTTTAGTGAAAGCATTAATAACTCACTGTACATCTTAGCTTGGAATTCCTAGAGATAGAGCCCAAGACACAGACTTTTGTCCAAACGATAAGATCTCATCTTTAAGATGTCTTAAAGAAATGAGAAAAAGCAGAATGAGACAGGAGAAATACTAGTTTTTTTTTTAAAAAAAGCAAGACAAACATAGTTTCAGAAATCTAGTATCATATGAAGTTTCTGGAGTTCTGGAAGGTTCCTAATTATAACCAAAAATTTCAGTCAAGAAGTAAAATATCTATACTGCTGTAATGACCTCATTGGCTTGCCATTATTTTTTTTTAACTACAAATCACCTTCAGGGCCCAGATGGGAGCTTAATATCTAGCTTAATATCAGGTAAACTGGTTCCCTTTAACCAGGTTGTGCAGGTCTATCCTTGATAGGCAATATTGTTGCTACTGTAGATTGGAAAAGGAGGAGGTAGGTGAGACAATAGTAGAATCTACTATGTATTGGTTAAAAGAATTTGAAGGCACCTATAAGTGCTAAGGAAGAAAGTACAATCTGGAAGTTCAGAGGTACGGAGTGAATGACACCAGCTAACAGGTACTGAAGGTTTGTTCTGTGCATCAAATTGTTATATAGTCCTCATCTACATTAGTAGTCCTCATTTTTTTCTCAAACAAATCTACAATATAGATAATACTATTGTTCTATTTTCCAAGAAATGAAGACACATCTATTTTAGATAACTTAGTCAAGGCCACACAACTAGCAAGTGCTGATGAGCATTCATTTTCTTTGAACTAATATGATAGGAGCTAGATGCTGGTGACTCACACCTGGAATCCCAGCTGCTCGAAAGGCTAAGATCCTGGGGTTGGGAATGTGGCTTAGGGGTAGAGTGCTTGTCTAGCATACATAAAGCCTTGGGTTCAATTTCTCAGTACCACATAAACAGAAAAAGCTGGACATGGTGCTGTGGCTCAAGTGGTAGAGTGCTAGCCTTGAGCAAAAGAAGCTCAAGGACAGTGCCCAAGCCCTGAATTCAAGTCCCAGGACTGGCAAGAGAAAAAAAAAGGCTAAGATCCAGAGGATCACAATTCAAAGCCATGTGCCAGTGTGGGTAGAAAAGTCCACAAGACTTTAACCAGAAAAATAGCTACCCTGGAGGTGTGGCTCAAGTGCCATTTTACACACCCTGAAATATCAGAGCCTACTGAGATGTGAAATTTTCCAACTTGGACAAAAGTTGTGCAAAGGACAATATCAACAGGTAAAAATCATCAGCAAAAATACCTGTAAAGTTGTATATATACATTTTGAAATGGATAAAAATACAATTGAAAATGGGCTTTCAAATACCAAACCATTACTACATGGGAAAAAATAGGAAGAGTTTTTTTTAATTATCATAGTATTTTAAAAAATAAAGAGCAGAATAACAAAAACTAAAAATGTGGGAAACACTGGACGCACATACTCATCGGCTGTTCTCTTTCTGTGTTGATCTATGCAGAGATTTGCCCCTAAAAAATACCTATGCTACCTCTGTCCAAGAGAAGAACGGGGCATTATGAGTCTGAGAAGGTAAACAATATTTTACTTGAAGATGAAAACACAGGAAATATATTAATTGTTGATAAATGATGATAGTGTTTTCATGTAGGTACTTGTAGTTTTGATGTTATCAGTAGGAGCATGTGATCTGAATATATCTATATTCATAAAAATACTCCCTTATAAAAATGGATTGGAAAGATGAAAGAAAAAAGAGAGGAAAAGAAAAGGAGAGATTGAAGTTGTGATGCCATTGGGCTACAATGAAGTATTTCTCAGGCCATTTCATAGTACCACAGGCTACCATCTTTCCTGTAGTTATAACTATGGAGAAAAAAGATGACTAGGAAAGGGAAGAGTTCATTCTCCTTTTATGATTCACATTGGTAGACCAGACTTCCTATGCCCCTGGCTATATCTGGTTATTTTTAGATGTACTCTGACAGTTACCTATGAATTTCAGGTATTGTTAGGAAATACTGCTAAGAAATATGTTAGTTATTTTTATTATAAAGGTTATTTATTATATCTCTATCTTATTGGTTCATATTTCAATCTGTTACTCACAATAAATTTGTAATGATACTTTGTATTTAGTTCTCTTTTAATACCAGATTAAGTGCTCTAGCAATTTAGGGGATTAATGGGCAGTCTCCAGAATGACCTTGAGGTGACATAAATAGCATAACTTATATGATGAAGTGCTTTGACAATGGAGATGAGACTTGAAGACTTAAAAGTCTGCATCACTCAAAAGACCCAGGATGGAAATAACAGGGGAAAGGAGGAGCTTTTAGATTGTATATTAACTAAATAGTCACTGCCCTGCTCCTGCTCCTGGCAGGTGCTGAGATTCAAATTACTTGGCATAATCATATTAATGAAGATTATGAAGAAGCTTTAAAACCCTGAGCATAGTGTACAGTGCTAGAATTGCTCAGAGATAGAGACAGAGCTGGCAAAAATTTGATTATCACAGACCATTTAAAAAACCAGCCACAGTTTACCGAGTAAGTTAAGAGGAGAGGGAAAGGTTAGTTAAGATTTCATCCCATACATTCCAGCAATTCAAGTATATAATAGAGATTGACATTCTACTTTTTCGGCAGGTAAAAGATGCCAGTGATTAATATTGAGGATCTGACAGAAAAGGACAAATTGAAGATGGAAGTGGACCAGCTCAAGAAAGAAGTAACCTTGGAAAGGATGATGGTAAGTAGTTGTGCTCCTGAATTTTATCTTAGTCATCTGTGGGAGCACGTGATTATAAAACATGGAATGGTCTTTGTCATGTATTTTACTATGTATTTTACTATCTGCTGGAAAATACACTTAAAAATACATTATTCACATAAAATTCAACAGAGGTTAAGAAAATTCATTTTTTAAAAAAGAACTATCTCTTGATTCAGAAAGGATTGGAAAACTATTTCCCTTAAGTCAAAGCTAGCCCATTTGCTTGGTTTTGATGCGACCAGTAAGCTAAGAAATGTGTTTATGCTTTTTAAAAGAGGGAAGGAAAAAAAAAAGAGGGAGAAATATGAGATGGGGATCATATTTTAGCTAAGCATTAAAATAAAATAATGTGTATAGGCCTTTTGGTTTTCATTTTCAAATCAATAAACTTCTCCTTATTTAATGAGATACTTTGATGTGGACATGCTTTAAACATGACCATATCTTTCCCATCATTATCCGGGTCAGTAGCAAATGAGTATGGTCTATTCTTCCACTGCAAACAAAGATAAGGCCAGGCACAAGATCTCACTGATTCTTGCTGAAAATATTTCACAGCTCTGGAAATGGTTACCAAAAGTTTTCTCTGCCTTTGAGGTAGCAAAAATGGACAAAGGATTTAAGCAATTTCCATCGAGTAGACAGTGACTAAGGTTTGGAAAACATAGATATCTACTTTAGATCTCCTTATTTTAAGAAAACACAACAAAAGCTCCCCTGCAAGTAATGACATATGCATTTTTTAAAGAAGAATTTTTTAAATAAAATTAATCTTGTTTTCTTCTCACAGGATCCCCTCTATTGATCTTTAGGGCGTTTATGCATGGGAACTGCAAAATACAGTACCATTAAAGAAATTCTCAATTCATATGTGTGGTAACCAACTTGTAATGAGAGGTAAACACTTCTCATTTCCATCACACTTGACACTGAGGCTGTCAAAACATCATATTGTCTAAATATTTTTTTTTAATTAATGGCCGAAAAATTTGGGCGGCGGGATGTGGAAGTTTTGATCATCAAAATAAGGCGAGCAGGAGAAAATGCCACTGACATCCATTAGGTTGAAGAGAAATAGTGGAACACAGTAAAACAGGGAGACTGTATTCTTTTCATCCTTTTCTAAATTCTTACTCCTAGTCAAATTAGGATTTTTAGTTTCTTTTGTCTTTATAATTGTCTCAAATTTCCCTGTTGCTCTTTCCACACAGGCAAAACATGTTTAACTATAGAGATAAAAATAAAATCCAGTACAAAAGCTTGCAACACACAGCAGACAAGTTGAAGTCTTTATCATTATAATTTGGGGAAAATCAATTTTCAGAGTGAAAGTTATTTTTTATTCTTTGCTTAAAATGTCCAAAAGTTGTTTTATTATTTTTACACTGCACATTATTTTGTTTTTGTTTTTGTTGGTTGTGGGGCTTGCACGCAGGGCCTGGGCGCGGTCCATGACCCCCTGTGTGTTTAAGGCTTGCACTCTACAACAAGCCACAAGGCCACTTCCAGTTTTTGAGTGATTCATTGGAGATAAGAGTCTCACAGGGACTTTTTTGTCAAGGCTGTCTTTGAACCATGATTCTCAGATCTCAGCCTCCTGAATTGAGGATTAGAGATGTGAGCCACCAGTGCCTAGCTCCACTACATATTATTCTCTTCTGGCAGTTTCCTCTTGGAAATTTAATTTAGGGTAAATATTATACACATCACAACTGACCTGGCTTTGGGATTTGTTCTTTTTCCTCATCCTTCAACATCTTCTTGCTTTTAGAAGGCAAAGTAATTTAATATTAAACTGAAAATCTCTCTCTGTTTTTCTTATTTTAGATAGACATTTATATGTGGATATAAACACATACACCTATCCCTCATGCATACATTACCCACAAGCACACAAATATACATGTAATGTGTTAGTCTATGTAGGTTAATATAACAGACTATCTTAGAAGAGGTTTATTATATCATAGTATAAGCAACAGAAATTTATTTTGATGAGTGTATTATCTCATAGTTCTGTAACCTCCTAGGGCTTTACTCCCTTATCCTCAAATGGCTGTTCTTTTCACTGTGATCTTACCTGGAGGAAAAGGCAAGAGGCCTCCCTGGAGTGTCTTTTGTACAGACACTAATCCTTTCAAAAAGGTTCTGCCCTGTGACCTAATCACCTTCCAAAGGCTCCACCCCTAGCATTATCACGTCAAGGGCAAAGATTTCAAAAATGATTTTACAGGACCACAAATATTTGGATACATATACATACATGAATATACATATATAATATATAAGTAATAATAAATATAAATGTAAATAATACATTATTACTATCATCAAATATATTTATACTTATTAATGTTATCATTAATAACATATTAAATACTTTAAATATATTAGTCATCATTAAACATTATTCTATAAATAATAAGCTTATTATTTATAGAATAATGAACAATTGTGGTAAAATTATATATTGTAATATATATTATGGTACAAGTATTATGGCATAAATTTCAAGTAAAAATAAATTAGCTAAATAACTTATGAAAGTCACTACCCAAAGTGAAGTTGTTCCATGTTGCTATCCTGCAAGACATTAAATGAAAATGGAACAAATCGTTGCTAAAAAGTACAAATAATTGAAATTATGTGTGTGCACACCCATATTTATATTCGCATATTCCATTGAAGAGCTACAGCTTGGTATTTCACTAAGCCATTGCTGTAATGGTACAAAGAATAGGGAGCAAGCTCCTAAACCAGAGTCATGACGCAGATCAGCCCTTGTTTATTTACTGTGCAACAATCAAGTATAGGCTGTGTTTCAGATACCCAACATACATTGAACAAATCTGCCAAAGTACCTGATCCTTTAGAGTCAGATGGTCCATTTTGTACTGCAGAGATCAATCACTGTGCATGAGTTTGAAGAGAAGTTGCATGTATAGACTTTTGAGAATCCAGGACTAATACTTTTTCAATTATGTATTCACTTCTATCATTACAAGTCACATTGTTTTAGAATGAGGAAAAAGACTTTATCAGTATTTATTCTGGAAGCCTTTGTGTTTCCAGCTATGTTCCTATCTCTGGATCTGTCTTCTTTGAAGAAGCTAGAAAGCAGAAGCTCTGGATCAGGTCCCCTGAACTAGAGTGTGGTTCCTGGTGTATCCTTTGTGTAAAGAAATCCAGGAAGACATGTCAGGGTAGCTCTTCTTGCTTTATTCCTGGGAAGTCAATGAGCATTGGCAGAAACAAAGTGCTATAAAAAGTGACAAGAAAAATTTATTGTGATTAATAATTTTTTTGAATCTGCAGCACTGTGTTTCATACTAAGTGAGTCATTTCTTTCTCCTCCTTCTTAAGGTATCCAAATGCTGTGAAGAAGTAAGGGATTACATTGAAGAGAGATCTGGAGAGGATCCACTAGTAAAGGGTATCCCTGAGGATAAGAATCCTTTCAAGGAACTCAAAGGAGGCTGTGTGATTTCATAAAGAAAAAACAAAAAAGAAAAATCTTGGAGATATGTACAATTTTAATGACAATGCAATTTTTCTTATATATAATTAAGCATGTACATGAATGTTTAAACTTATAAATGGGAACTTGTACTAAAAACTGGGACATAATGAAATATAAGTGTGTTTTCTGACAGTATTTAGCACAAGTTTTAACACATAGCTGAAAATAAATATTGATGAACCCTTCTTTAAAGACTTAGTATATTTTATGAATGAGTCTCTAGTATTGTTGGCTGCCAACAAACAGTTAATGTTTCATATTTCTTCATTGTCTATGTTCATGTTGTTCTAGAAATTTCACAGGCTTAATTTTTCTCAACATTTTGTTGCTTATAGAAAGTCTCTTGTGTGTGTGTGTATGTGTGTGTGTGTGTGTGCGTGCGTGCACACATATGCACATGCATTAGTAATAGGACTTGAACTCAGGGCCTGTGCACTATCCTTTCACTTTAACACTCAAGGCTAGTGTTCTGTGACTTAAGCCACAGCTCTACTTCTTTAGTGGCTAATTGAAATAAGAGTGTCATTAACTTTTTCTGTGCAGGGTGGCTTTGATTCTTAGATCTCATTCTCCTAAGTAGCTAGGATTGTAGGTTCAAGCCACCAGTGCCTGTTTAGAAAGTCTATTGTTTTATTTATTTATTTATTTATATTTTTGGGTCCAGTTGTGGGGCCTGAACTCTGGGCCTGGGTGCTGTCCCTCAGCTCTTCAGCTCAAGGCTAGCACGCTACCACTTGAGCCATAGCACCACTTCCCGCTTTTTTTTTCTGCTTATGTGGTGCTGAGGAATCGAACCCAGGGCCTCATGCATGCAAGGCAAGTGCTCTGCCACTGAGCCACCTTCCCAGCTCTTTATTTATTTTTTTACTTATTTATTTTTTTGGTCAGTTGTGGGGTTTGAACTCAGGGCCTGAGTGCTGTCCCTGAGCTTTTTCACTCAAGGCTAGCGCTCTACCATTTTGAGTCACAGTGCCACTTCTGGTTTTCTGGTGGCTAATTGGAAATAAGACTCTCACAGACTTTCCTGCTAGGGCTGGCTTCAAACTGTGATCCTTAGATCTCAGCCTCCTGAGTATCTAGGTTTACAGGCATGAGTCGGTGATGCCTGGCTTACGTCTATTGTTTTACTAAACAGATGATCTATCTTGGCAGATTATGTGATGTCAAGATTTTTGTTATTGACGTTTTTTTGTCCTTTCCCTTCTTTCTTCCTTTTAATCAATGATGCTGGCTTTTATATAAGCTCTTCCTACCCAGTTCGACTTAACATTGATGATGTGACATTTTCCCAGAATGCACAGAAGATTAGGGATTTCATCTTGGGTTACATTGCACAGGAAATATAACAAAAAATAGAAAAATAGGTTTTAAGCACAGATTCAGGAGTCTGAGAGTTATGCTACTTCACTGCCTAGCTTTGAATACTTTGAATACTTTTTTTTTCATTTTGTGTAAGTCTTGGTTTTGTCCACTGGAGGATGGAGATAATAATGTTTCTTTCTTTCTTTCTTTCTTTTTTGTCGGTTATAGGGCCTGAACTCTGGGCCTGGGCACTGTCCCTCAGCTCTTCAGCTCAAAGCTAGTGCTCTACCACTTGAGCCTTAGTGCCATTTCCAACTTTTTCTGCTTATGTGGTGCTGAGGAATTGAACCCAGGGCCTCATACATGCAAGGCAAGCACTTTACCACTGAGCCACCTTCCTAGCCCTGATAATAATGTTTCTATCCCCTATTTTCTGAAGACAAAATAAAACCTCCTAATGGTTTGAAAGGGAGATGCAGAACAGCTATATCACTTAGTATATTGCTTGGCTTATAGTAAGACCAATAGCTAGTATCATTATTTGGAAAAAAAAACTAGATAAAGTTTCCTGAGTCCTTGAAGATACCCACCACCTACTTCCTGAAGAGCTTTTTTTCTCTCCCAAGATGAAGTTAAATGACAGACAAATTGTGATTACTAATTTGCCTTTGCTTCTACAGGGAATGACAAATCAGAAGCCATTTTTGTTCCTAGTATTTCTTTGTTGCTATCACACATTTAATTGCTGTTTTGGATAGTCTCATCACCTAAGTATGCAGAAATGCTAATTGATTGTCATTTGTTCAAAAATGTGATAAAAATGATCTATTACTTGACCCAGAGAAGAGTCTGAAGATCACTTCAAGTTTGGCTCCTAGCTCAGTGCCCTCCCTCTCTGACCACAGGAAATACTCATCACTTATCTAAGCGCTTCATGTTGAAATGAGGAAAATAAATGACTCAAAAGTAAGTTGGCAAATTTCTGAGTTAAAGGGTTACTGGCCGAGCAGAACTCTGCCACATAGTTGTGTCAAATATGTGTTATGTCTTAAGAGGCTCCAGGGTAAACTGGAATCTCTTATCTCTTTTATCCCAAGGGGAAAATCTTTTCCTTCTACTTAAAATTGCAAAATCCTGCTGGGTGCTGATTTATCATGCCTATAATCCTTGCTACTCAGGAGACTACGACCTGGAGGTTTATGGTTCAAAACCAGCCCCAGTATAGAAGTCTGACAGACTCCATCTCCAAAATAACAAGCAAAATGCCAGACTTGGAGGTAAGACTCCAGTGGTAGAGCCAGCTGTGAGCAATACAGTTCAAGACCCTAAGTTCAAGCCCCTGAGTTTAAACTTCAGTACTGGCACAGACACACACACACACACACACACACACACACACACACACAGTTCACAGAATCCCTCTCCACACATCCTCATTGTGTCCTATTCTCTTTCCTTGATCTAATTTCCTCCATATCACACTATATATTTTTTCATTTATTTATTTAATCACAGGTTTTATTTTCTTCAAGTTAGGGCTTATTTAGTGAAGTGTTCCATCTATCCTTTCTTTCTTATCATATGTACACCATTTGCTGTGCCATACAGTAATCCATAAACCATAGTCCTAACCAACGTCTTTTATTTTCATTCCACCACTGGACAGATGCTGAAGCCTGAAACCCTGGCTCTTCTACTTTATCGAGAACTTTGGATAAGTAATTTCATTTCTTTGACACTACTTTTTTCTTTTTCAGTTATAAAATGAACTATTCGGATTGATCCTTATTTGGATATTTATAATTCCTTAGATGAGATATAGACATACATGAAGAAGTCTTAATGCTACTGTCATCCCTGAAGACTTTCTGCACTGAAAAATAATCCTTGACAGGGCACTATATTTTCCGACTTGAAAATTATTCATACTGATTCCTCTACCTGAAAAGTCCCTCTGCTGCACCTCATCTCACCTTTTGAAATCCTCCTCTTTTGAGCCTATCACTCTCACAATACTTTTTTACTTGTCATTTATAATTACATGTTCTTATTATTTGTATAGTTCTTTTAATTTAAGCATTGTATGATAAATTTCACAGGCCTGAAGCTCTGTTCATCTTTGAGGCTGCCAACCCAACTGATCATTTGTCTCCACAACTTATTTTATTATTCTTGATTTGTCAGTCCTGGGGGTTAGACTTAGGCTCTCACACTTGTATACACATGCTCTACTTCTTGAGTTATGCCCCTGGATTTTTTGGATTTAGCTATTTTCCAGATAAAGCCTCAAGTTTTTACCAAAGATCTCCCTAGGAAAGTGACCATCCTTTATTAATTCCTCTCCCCTTTAGCAAGAAAGACAGATGAATACCATTATGCTTTGCTTGTTTTTTTAGATGGAGGGGCGGGGGGCATCCTCACTAACTCTTAGAGCTGGCCTTGAACCATGATCTTCCTGATCTCTCCCTCTAAAGTAGTTAGGATTATAGGTACACATTGTAAGTTCTTGCCCTGGTCTCTACAATTTATTTGGCTTCATAATTAATTTAATTAAGTGTAGGCAAAGAAAATACTTAAGCAATGTTTATATTGGACAATTCATAATTCTTATAGCTTAATAAGTAAATCAACATTAGAGTAAATTTCTATTAGAAACACAAGTTGTCAGAAGAATTTTGAGTAAGGGAGAAATCAAAGTAAACTTTGAAAAAGATGATCTGTGAAGAAGGAAATGAAATCATGACGGTCCCACAAGCTGCATAGCTGCGGTTGACAGTGACTTTGTTTTGTTCCCAAATTGTTATTTCAGGACCAGGGGAGACTAGTTTAAGGAGGAATGGTGTAAGATTCAGCTTCAGAAGCAAAAACTAGGCTTTGAGCAACATTTACCTTAAACAAATTAACATTTGTTTCTTCAACAAAATTTTTTGATATTTAGTACCAACGACTTATACATACTACAATATACCATGTAAGCTACTTGCAGGTTAAGGATATTTTGTACAAATAAGAGATAAATACAAGTGGCTAATAGATACGTGGAGAAATGTGTAACATTCTTAGCCATAAAAAAGTGCAAATCAAACCATACTAAGATTTCATCTCACCCCAATCAAAACAGCAGCCATCAAGGAAGCAAGCAACAAACTGTAGCAAGGATGCAAGGGGAAAAGAAACCCTCATACACTGTTGGTGGGAATGTAAATTACAACAACCACTATGGAAATCAGTACGGAGTTTCCTCAAAAGAATAAAAGTAGGCCTCTAAGATCCCCCTTCACCACTATTGGACCTATTTCCCAGAGAGTAAATCAATATACCAGAAGACACTTGCAAAATAATGTTTATTTCAGCACTGTTCACAAAGCCAAACAATGGACACAGCTGAGGTGACCAGCAACTGATGAATGAATAGGGAATATAAATGTATAAAATATTTGAGATTATAGCCCAGTGCTTGTGGCTCACACCTGTAATCCTAGCTACTCAGGAAGCTGAGATCTAAAGATCACGGTTCAAAGCCAGCCCAGGCAGGGAAGTCAGTGAGACTCTTTTCTCTAATAAACTACTCGGAAAAAGCCAGAAGTAGAGTGTAGCTCACTCAAGTGGTAGAGTGCTAACCTTGAGCAAAAGATGCTCAAGTGGGGCTGAGAAGGTGGCTCAGTGGTAGAGCGATTGCCTTGCATGCATGAGGCCCTGGGTTTGAGTCCTCAGCACCATATAAACAGAAAAAAAAAGCTGGAAGTGGTGCTATGGCTCAAGTGGTAGCGTGCTAGCCTTGAGCTGAAGAGCTGAGAGACAGCACCCAAGCCTAGAGTTCAGGCCCCACGACTGGACCCGCAAAAATGATGCTCAAGTATAGTGCCTAAACCCTGAGCTCAAGCCCCAGGACCAGC